AGTATTTATAAGTATTTATCGTCTGAATATAGCAAAAAGACGTTCATACTCTGCAAGCCAAGACCTCATATATTTTAATCAACCAGAAACCGGAAATAACCGTAACGCGAGTTTTTCTAAAACATAATAAATCCATGTGTGTCTCTGAGCCGCAGCAACACCGACTGATTCTTAAAGAGCGGGTCATTCTGTCTGTTTGTTCTGGGACTGGAGTTGCTTGTCTCGGTTGCTGAAGCAGACTTTGCTCCGTGTTTGGTGTCTCTGTGCCGCTGTAAATTCTGTTCCTTCAACTCTGTGTCACTCACAGTCACACACTGGTCACTCACCGCCTCAGAGTGCCGCTGCTGATAGGAAGTCGCTTCAGTGCGCACGTCACAAAACGAAATGCATTTTGGGACATGCAGTTTATGGGCAACGTGCTTAAACGGCATGTAACCGTATAATAAACTGTTTATATTCTTTGCGAGCTCTCGCGGGCCACATAAAATGACGTGGCGGGCCACATTTGGCCCGCGGGCCTTGAGTTTGACACGTCTGGTCTAAAGCATTTATTATTTTCATTTTTCCCCTCTCATATTCAGTGTGGATGGATTGAGACAGCGTGGTGTCCAGAGAGCTGCAGAGACTTCAGGGAGAAACCTCCGTGTGATGGACGTCCTGTCTGTTGGTTTGGCCGGAGAGGACTGAGGGTCTTTCCTCTGTGAGGAGGACCAGGCCTGATGGAGGAGCCCATGCATAGCTGATACCACCTGATCAGGCCTAGTCTGTCACTTTATTTGACTAAATGTGTTTACTTATACATTTAATAGGTTTACACCTTCTGTCCATATGTGCTTTTTATTTAAAACATGTTTGATTAACTTTTGGTTCACATTTTAATAAATTGAATTTGTATTTGCACTCCTTTTGTCCATTATTCTTACTGAAAATGTTAGATTACACATTCACATCTGACTGAAGATTGGCCCCATTTATTTGCGTTGCAAACTCTGCGGTACAAGGTACATGTTGTGAAGCTCATGAAGTGAGGCAAATGGAAATAATCAGCTGATGGAGTGTAGATGTGGAAATAGGTGCATTCGATCAGCTGACTGTGTTTTCACAATAAAAGTAGTTTCTTAGTGAATGTCCTGTACTGGTCTTAACATCTCATAACATCAGCTTTTAATTTTCCTCTTGGATGTTCTTCTTGACCCTCAGAGAAAGAGGAGATGCTGAGTCGTGTCTTTCAGGCATGTCCTTTCCTAACAAAAATTACAGGAAACATAAAACATATTATTGCAGAACAAGTGTGTTATTTATGAAAGAGGTGTGTTTGTGTTTAGGGGCTGTAGATATAATTATTTTGTAATTGTAATGTTTTTTTTTATTTCAACAGTGAGCTACAAAGACAATCAGATTATGAATGAACAGTATGAAATTCATCAACATTGAAATATATTTTATTATCAAAATAATATTTAACTGTTATTAAAACAAGCTTGCTCTGTTGTCTCACTGAAAGAATAACTTTTACCACGTTTTTACAGACAATATTGAGAGATAAATAGCAGTTGTCACTATGCGTTAAATATCTTTGCCTTCAATACCTTAAATTAGAAAGCTGACAGTCATATTGCTTGTTAACATCTAAATGTAACCCTTTGCATGGAAAAAACCCTCAACTTCACTGATGTGTAGGTGATCTAGTATTTAGTATTGTTTAATGGAATGTATAGCAGTGTATTAAAGTCAATACTTCATTTATTTAAACCAATATCTTTCTTGATTCTTTGTACAGTATGAAAAAAGAGTATTTGCACCTGTGCTGAAGTTCACTGCTGTGAGGAGTCCAGTTATGTCTCTCACTCTCTGGTCCAGCCTGTCTGCATAACCTGGGCACTTTAAACAAACAGATATATATGTAAAGTACCATGTGTACAAACAATATAACTTATTCTCTTCTGTTGAACATGTTGGATTGTGTATTGACCGAGTCAGGGTCCTTTTTATTTTACTGTAACTTTGGAAGTTGTGTTACCAATGCTGTTGTGTTACTGTTTATTTGATACCAATTTGGTAATGCAATTAATAAAAACAACAAGGTTTGGGTTTGTTCTTCAGATGACTGTGATGTTAATGTGTAAGCTCAATAATGAACTCCAGCTCAACCAACCATATTGTAATATCTAAGTAATCATCTTGAAATATGACATTAATAATTGTAATATAAACACATCTTATTGTGAGGTTGATTTCACATACACTACTTCGACGTTAGCTTGTCTACATACTTGAGCATAGCCAATTTAAATTAACCTTAGCGATGCATACAGTTCCTACCTACATAATAAAATATCTCTCTAAGTTACAAGGATGACCTTATTTTATCAACCTCAAACAGAAGCCGTTTGTTCTACAGTATTATCCCACTTAACGCTTAACACTTGTCTATTTCGTTTTAACCTTTATATATACAGTCTATGGTTTTAAGTTAACTTGGAGGCTAAGATTAGCATCGTTAGCACCGATGTAGCTACCACTCGCTTACACGCTAACCCAAGCCTTAACATTCATTACGTAGCTGATTGAAATCATAAACACATAAATAAAGTACTCGAATTTCACTTACCGCAAAACCGCATTCATGCACCATCTGTTTTAACCGCAGAGCGAGTCACAATAGTCCGATATATAAGCATGAAGAACAAACAAACACGGCCGGGGTCAAGTTGTGTTCCCTGGATGAACTGAGCATGGAGAGTTCCTCTAGCTTCACAGAGACGGAGACGGAGCAGCTAGCAGAGAGACAAGAAGCTAACAGCAGCAGTCACTTGACAGAGCTGTCACTCAATGTGACCACGCCCTAATTTATGCAAAAACTTTAAGACCTAATATAAATAAAAGGGTCATGTTAGAAAACAATTCACTCACAGATTCATAATCATGAAGGTGGAATCTAACTATATACATAATAATATTTATTGCATCCAGGGCTAGAAACTTTTTTTTTCTGCTGTGAAATTGGGCATTTTAACATGGGGGTCTATGGAAATTGCTCCTTTCTGCAGTCATCGCCTATCGGCCAATATATGAACTGCAGTTTGTGGCACTTCCGTATTGGCGTCCCGGCTCTTCCCCAGAGTTTGCCGCTTGGTGTGATTGCAGACATTATCCAGCTATGAGGAACATGTATGTAAGGCGATCTGCTAATATTGGAGTTGATATATGGAAACGCTAGCAACTTAGTTAGCCCAGTTAGCACTATGTCAATAGGAGTCCGGTTTACACATTTAACCAGTCGTGGTAGATACCTTGTTTGATAAATACACAAATAACAATGCAAACTTACAGGTTGTGTACCCGAATCTTCCCCTGCTCCAAACGGTCCAAACAAGCTGTGCATATCCGGCCTCAAACTGGGCAATGTTTTGGAAGCTTTCGTCTGTGAAATGCCGGTTCTTCGAACCTCTGAAGGAACAGTGTTAAAAAGACATTTCAACCACTGACTTCGTGGTGGTTCTTCCGTCGGTAGGACAAACAGCTCAGATTTCTCCTCACATTTCAGGAAACAGGTCCTTGGCAGTGGCATGACTGGATCGATTGTGAACTGAACCAGAGCTTCCAACAGTAAATGTTAGGCTGGCAGAGGGTGCGGCCAGCGCCGCTGGGTGTGGCCATAGCTCTTCGGGATTGGTCCATTTCGTTCCGGGTACCGCATGACATCAGGCCATACCCGGAACTAAATGGAAGACTCAAATGGGCAGTGACGTATCTCCAACGAGGCGTTTTGGGGAGGTATTTTCTGTGTTAGAGTTTTACTCGCTACAGGGTGTACTTTGAGGGTTTTGACTCTGCACACCGTTTACATGCATAAAAACCTTCATAACACACAAGGAGACGGGTAATAACCGGAAAAGCATGACATGGGAGCTTTAAGTGAATGTGTGTCAGTCTGAATTGACGCTGTTTGGCATCACAACGCTGTTATGAAAGTTTCTCTGGTATAACATGGGTGATGTTAGCATAGCAACCGAAGCTAAACTGACTACTTGCTAAGCCGTTTTCTACAGGCACATTTTACCGGCGTATTTTTCATTATGATTCTACTTGTGATAGTCGGACATGACAACCTGTGCAGCCCATGTATTGATTCCATCCGATAGCTGCTATAATAACAAACAAAACGTCTGCCTGCTCTCCACAATGATCAATAACATTGAACGGATGGTCAAAGTAAGGTACAAATGTCCTGCACGCCTCGACGTAAGAGAGACGTAAGCGACGCCGCGTCATAGCTCCGAAGCTCTTGCCTCTAGACCGACAATTTTTTGGAGCTGGAAGTGAACCGCATTCCGGAGCTATGACGCGGCGCCGCTGCGGTGTGAACAGGAAAAACCGGAGCTGGAAAAGCGCCGGTGTGAAAGGGGCAACATGGCTGATTCAGGAGCCCAGACACACTCACAACTATAAATGAACCAAAAATAAATAAATAAACAAGTTTCAATGTTTTTTCATATTGGATATGGGATGTTATTGGTTATAGCCATGTTCTTATGATTTTATGATTATTTATATATAGTTCTGTTTCACATGGGTGTTCCCATAGATCTAGTATCTTTATTTCTCCCTCAAAGTGCACCAGATTGATGCATTTAACTCCAAAATAAAATAAAAAATCTTACCGGGGGAGCATGCCCCCAGACCCCCCTAGAGGATTTCAGGTCCACCCCCTCTTAAAATATGTTCACATGGATAGGTTCCTAAATACATTTGCAAATGTTTTTAAATAGTAACCCATGTCCGATATGTTTATTTTTGGGTAGTAGATAGGGCTATCACTATGGGCAGCAACGCTGTAAATATTGACAAATAAATCCAGCAAAATGGCACAAAAAAAATCTGGTAGTGGCCTGGCTGGGTGTATAATTCCCGGCCTGACTTATTGTCCCATGTCCGGCCCTGTTTGGATATATATATGGGTGTTTTCAGGAGAATGACACTTCCAGCCCCTTTCGCTGGTCTGGACTTCCTTTTACTGAAACCGAAAACAGAATATTTGGCAGCAGTGAGAGTACTGGTGAGCTCCCTTTTTCACACGGTAAGACCTTTTGGGAATTACATTATTATTGCTCATTATTGCATTCTTCTGACTCTTGGTTTCCGGTGTGGTGTGGTGGTTAAGGTACTTCAGAATCGAGATGAGTGGTTAAGTTACAGCAGGAGATTGTTAAACCGGATGTTGTTACACTGTCTTTGTTACACAATGACGGCCTGTCTTCTCTCTGAATGGATATTCATCGTGTTTGTTTTCAGATTTATCTAGGCTTTTTAGATCGTTTATCCTATTCAGTCAGTTATACAGTATTCCGGTTATTGCTTTTTAAACCGTGCCCTTTATACAGAGTTAATAAAGTGTAGGCCTACATAATGTACTTAGGCCTATTCATATTAAAACAATACATTTTAAATGGGTTATCCTTCGAGATATTGACAGTTAAGAACATTCATCATTGTTATGGGGAGTAAATCACTCAGCTGGTGAAAACTGTTTTAAAATGTGCAAAAAATAACCCAGATGCCTGTCGTCCGGCATTATGGGAAATGTATTTTTTTTTATTTACATTTTTTTTTTGGCTTAACCCATACAGGGGACTACAAGTCAGGATTTGTACCATACTCTGCTGCTTCTGTTTCTTTTGACTGTTAGAACTGTAATTCATCTTTCTTTGTCATTATTTAATACAGGATTGCAGAATAAAATGACGTTTTAGCCCCCTCTCTTTCACATAGACATTTTTAAACCACATAGCCTATACGAACATATTTCAATTAAAATAGGCCTAAAATAGAACAAACTTTACAAGTTAAGATAAATATACCGACGCACAAATGTCAATTTATCACTTTTGTGATGAACATTTTACATGTATTCTGTCCTCAGTGTGTGTCTGAACACAAATCCACAGACTGCTAACAAGCTTCCAGGGAAGGTCAGAGGAGTAAAGTTGAACCCTCTTTACTGTTGTCTTCATTCTCGTGAAAGTACAATTTAGTAAAAAAGTGATGCTTCTCAAAACAGAAATAGAGGAAAATACAAGGTAGCTGAACATGGATGTAAAAATGATAGCAGAAAACAATCTGCAGAATGCTGCACCACTCCTGAATGACCACCAGAGGGCACAACATCAGATATATATTTACATAATAGAACATGACAACCTTGCTGGAGTGCCCTTAAGACCCCTTTCCTTATGAACCAAAATCAGTTTTACAATAACTTATTAATATGAAATCATGGCTTTTCTGTACTTGTAATTGTAGATGACTATCTAATATGTTCGCTTTGTGAATGTTTACCCTAAGTTAATACACATTCTGCAACCAAACAGTTCATTATTAATGCTCAAACCTGATTTATATCAGTATTTGTTGGTTGTTTATATTTTAAGTTGCAGTCATAGTCAAGAACATATGCTCCGGTAAAACTAAGACGTGTGAGAGTGGTGTAATATTCTCATGGTGTAGGTCAGGGTACACTTTATTATCCTGTATAGGGAAATCAGGTGGTCTAAGTGCAAAGGTACACAAAACATAAAAGCCATAAAAGCTAGATTTAGATGACAAATGTACTGTTTAGAGCCACCTTTCACCCTCCTAACACACCCGTAAATGCACACACTCACACAGAGAGAACAATACCAGACGTTATCGCTTTGTTCACACACACACACACACACACACACACTCACACTCACACTCACACTCACACTCACACTCACACTCACACTCACACTCACACACACACACACAAATGCATGTATGCACACACAAACACAATGCACTTTGATACTATCCCACCATTTATTTGCTGCTTATTACATCTGGCTTTTCTTTTTTCTCTTTGCAGAATCAAATACCTAATTGCACAGGTATTTACAGATTTATTACAGAAGTTGAAGTAGACATGATTTATTCTTTGAATACTAATCTGCAAAATGATTCCCTTCTTTCTACTTTCACAGTGAGCAGACATGGTGGATGTGCTGCTGCTTGAGACTCTGGAAGAATTGATCACAGATGACTTTTGGAAATTTAAGTGGTACCTAGATAAAAAGAATGGCGATGATGACTCAATTCCTGAGAACGACCACAAGTGGGCAAACCAGATGCAAACTGTGACACTGATGACCCGTAGCTACGGTGAAGAAATGGCCGTGAAGGTGGCTGTTGAGATTCTGAAGAAGATGAAGAACATGAACGCTGCAGACAAGTTGACGAAGAAATATGCAGGTGCAGTGGATGTTTCTTAAATGTACTATAATATCAGCAAAATCAGTTACTTCACAGCTTTCTGGATTTATGTATTTTGTAAATTGTTATTTGTGTATTTTTATATATCTTACTCCATGGCTCTTTACTTATGCTCGAACAATGTTAATTCCCCCTCTGTGGGACGAATAAAGGTATTCTGATTCTGATTTTTAAACATGATTCTCTGCATCTGTATGTTTTATTTGCAGAGATGAACAGAGCTCCACCCTCCTCCTCCTCCTCTGCTGCTGCTGCTTCACCTCCAGCTGCTTCACCTCCAGCTGCTTCACCTCCAGCTGCTTCACCTCCAGCTGCCAACACGATCTCGGCTCAGAACGAGAGTGTGATCGTCAAAATAAACATCAATAAGACAGCACAATAAGAAATACGGGAATACATATATATATTTTCTTCTACTATAGTCCATGAAACCATTACATGTTCCTGGAAAAATTGACATCTTTACCCGTTAGAGTCCTCCTACAGTGCAAGCCAATTTTCTTAAAGTCTCAATATTTAACATTAAAAAGCAGTACACACATCATTAATTACACAATTACAATACATGCTTTGATATATAACCCTGTGTTATAGCTATAAGCAGATATAAGGAACTTTTTAATGTCTAATAATGCACCCTATGAAGACACATTTTCTAATAATACAACTGTTTTTAATGGTGGCTGAGAGGTGCACACACGGGCCAAAACATGTCTATTAGGAGACACACGCTGAAGTTTCAAAAACATTATGAAAACACAAATGTGCCAAAACACATGCAAATGAAGAAACATCTTCACCAACTTAAAGAAACATGTGCAGGGTTTATTGAAAGCGTTGCATAAATCCGCTCTGTATCAGCCAAACGGCTCGCTGCACCCTCACTGCGAGGGGGACCCAAGTTCCCATCAGCAAAAACACGTCGGTTTGCTATCCTGGCTCCAAAATGGTGGAATGAGCTCCCCATTGACATCAGGGCAGCAGAAAGCTGACACATCTTCCGGCGCAGACTGAAAACTCATCTCTTTCGACTCCACTTCGAGCAATAACATGAAAAGAAAAAAAAAAAGCACTTTGATACTAACTAAACACTCATATACTAACAAAGCACTTTTATACTAACAAAGCACTCATATACTAACTAAGCACTTATACTAACTAAGCACTTATATACTAACAAAGCACTTATATACTAACAAAGGACTTATATACTAACTAAGCACTTATATAATAACAAAGCACTTATATACTAACAAAGGACTTATATACTAACTAAGCACTTATATACTAACAAAGCACTTATATACTAACAAAGGACTGGCTTATCTAAAGCCAGTTGAGTAGCACTTAAAATGTTTTGGCTCCATGAAACCTGATGTACTTATATGATTCTGTTTTCTTCAAGTTTGTATCTTCTTGGTCGAATGCACTTATTGTAAGTCGCTTTGGATAAAAGCGTCAGCTAAATTAAATGTAATGTAATGTAATAAATGAAACGCTGCAAATACAAAACGCTGCAAGAAGCTCAAAACACAACAGAAACGGGGACACTAAAAAGTACGCACACAGCTGGGACCGGAGCGCTTGTTGATGTTTGGGGATTATAAAGGGGGCACACTTGAAAACTCACCGAAAATTTGAGTTTTTCAGCTTATTTTAGCTTTCTGATATTATGGCAGATCTGCTGTGAGCTATCTAGCTAACGTAGCTAACCTAGTCATTTAACAAAACACTAACAGTTATGAAACAACGTCAACAAGCGCAACAAGTGTCCCCTGGTTTCTGTTGTGCTTTGAGTTTGAGTTATAAAGCAATAATTCAATGTCAACACAATGATTTTCATTCCTTTGTTTGTTGTAAAGACCAGAGCAAATCCAAGACTGATGATGACCAAAGATGTGACAATGACATGACACAATATCTGACAGAATGTACATTTGAGACCAAGCATCCATTTAAAAATATGCTATAACAAAATATATTCCAAATAAACAACAAAAACAAAACATGCAGTGTTTTCCTTTCTTGTTTTGCAATACAGTTGAGAGAGGGCTCAGAATAATACATGTGTAAAGTTGTAAACCGTAAAAAAAAAGACAACTTCTATACACAGCAGTGAGGCACTAAGAGTGAATACATTGAATTGTTAAAGCTCAACAATGTGTTTTGATAAATTGAAAAACTTAAGAATTATAATTTTTAAGTGGCAGTTTTTCCATATTTCTACACATTTAAAGTGTTGATACTGAAATGTAAGCAGCTTCATCATAACTGCAGGTGCTTGTAATCTCCTCCTGTCGTCAGCAGGTGGAGCTGTGGTCTCACATTAATGTGACTTCAGGTTCCTGTGCTGCTGTCTCAAAACTTGAGTTTGATTTCAGATTGTTTTTTGTGAAATGTATACAGGTTACTTCAAAAACTGTTGATATCCAATTACATATCTGAAAATGAATTATTTTTAAAATATGTATGACATATATAAGCATAACTTTTGCTGGGATCTGCCTGCTCCAATAGTTAAATGCTCATCAATTATTTTGTCAGTTCAGTTGTTAAGATCAGCCGTGTCTTGTGCCCATCTCAATGTCCAAATACAGCCCCATCTCTCCCAGACCCACCTGGTGACGTACTTGCTAGAAGATTCATCTGGACACCTCCTCGAGCAACCTTTACGTGTAATTCATGTCGGGAGCCAGGCTTCGATCTGGGAAGTGGCTAGATCCAAACGAGGGGCACTGAAAAAGCTCTCTGCCAGAGTAGGGAACCACCTTCTTCCAGATCCTTCCCAATCCAAACAAAAGCCTTTCACAGCCCACCGCCAAGGATGAAATATAGACGCTGAATGTCAGCCATCATTAGCCGCGTTCACACCGGAGTACTTTTCGTGTTTAGTTCCGTTAGTACCCCTTATGTTGCGTTCACACCAAAAAGAGTACTTACTGTAGTGCCGGGAACTTTTACCCCCATTTTTAGTGCCTGCTGAGAGATGGTACTTTCCTGGGGGAAAAAAGTGCCCCAGTTCTGATTGGCTGGGCGAATTGCAAACCACGCCCCATAAAACTCTGAAATGTTTTGTAGAGCCGCCATTTTATTATCCTTGCATTAGCATTATTAGCATTAGCATTCGCCCAGTGCACAAACGCAGAGAGACTAACTTATGGCAACACAAAATGAAACATGGGAGCGGTGGAGATGAGGAGGTGTCGGCGTTCTGGCGATTTACTCGGAAGGCTTCAGTACTACTACTACTGAAGCCAGTCCCCAACTCCGGGGACTTCCGGCCGGGGACTCCGGGTGGCAGTATACGCCGTGAAGTGGTTTGCGGCCTGCCAGTAAACCCAAAGCAGAAGAAGACGAAGTGACGTCAGCGGCTCATTTGCGTAATCTTCCCTCAGGGAACTTATTCCGGTGTGAACGTGATCTGTACTAAGTGTCCTGGGGTAATAAGTGCCGGGGCACTAAGTGCCGGCACTAAGTACGGCAAAGTACTTGGTGTGAATGGGGCTATTGGGGGAGAGGTCCCAGAAGTTACTGTCCCTAACCCCCTCTGGGAACCCTTTTTGGTCCCTACTGTTAACCTCTAAATCAGAATCATTGCTGTGGCAGAGGTGAACACCTGAATCTCTCACTGCAGCCGTCCTCTGGGCTCACACAGACAAGATGTCCACAGGAAGCCACACTAGACTCACAAGGGTCAACCTACTGTAGTCTTAAAGGGTCAGGAAAGGAGTGAGGGACAGAAAGCACCACAGCTGGCATCAGAAACAAGGTAACTGGTGCCTGGGGAAACATTTGTGTTGCTAAATGATGGTAAAACCCCCCTAAAACAGGTGCAAGGGTCTTTTGAAGTGTCAATTATCAATGTGCTTCCTATAGGATGTAACCCATTACATTGGTTAAAAGACTGCTCCTATTAAAGTATGATCCTTTACATGTCCACACACTCTTATAATAATAATAATAATAATAATGGTTTTTGATGGGGAGCCAGTGGAGGGAGGAAAGTGAGGGTGGAGGGGTTGACAATGGAGCCGTCGACGGTAAGTGAAAAATCTTTGGTTGAGTGGGTAAGTGAGTTTGGGCCGATGATTATAAGTTCCGATTTGTCACAATTAAGTTTTAGAAAATTGTTTTGCATCCTTGAATGTCAGTGAGGCAGGTGCTGAGCTGGGAGTGTGTGGTTGGAGAAATATATTTTGTTGAGAGGTAGAGCTGTGAGTCATCAGCATAACAGTGGAACTGGAGTTGGTGTTGACAGAGGATTTGTTAGACGCTTTTATCCAAAGAGACTTATGGCGCGTTTCCACTACAGCGCGCAGCCCGGTTTAAGAGGGCTGTGACGTCAGCGGCCCGTTTGTGGTTGCGTTTCCACTTGGCCTAGTACCGGCCGGCGGGTCCTAATTCACAGTTTTTCTGGCCTCATAAAATCGTGGGGCCAGGGCCAAGACAACCGGGCTGAGTTTGTGACGTCAACGCTCTCGGCTGCTGATTGGTCGGAGAGAATCGTCACAATCTGCGCGCGAGATAATCCATTTTTACAAACAGCATTTTTGTTAACAGAGGAGCTACAACAATGGCAAAGAAAAGCACACCATGGTCGGTCGAGGAAGTGACGACGTCCATTATATTGCAGATGATAAGGTCCAGCGGGTGCTCAACGGGACAACTCGCAATATCAAAGTCTTTCAGGAGGTCTCTACACAGACACTGGACTCTCCAACGGCGTTACTGGAGTCTGCATGGTACGTTTTTGCTAACGCTCTGTTATTTGCTTGAAAGCTTTGTGTCCCTATCTGTTCTAAAGCTCACTTCTAACAAATAAGTCTATTTTATCCTTACATTTATGTTCGACAACCCATGCTTTTATGGAGCCCCGAAGGCTATGCAGATAGCATTAGCATACATACTCAATACTGTGGGCAACCCCCACAGGAGCAATTTGGGGTGAAGTGTCTTGCCCAGGGACACAACGACATGCTGACTGCAGTGGGGTTTGAACCTGTGCTCTCCTGATCCGAATACCAACGCCTAGAAGGTCGAGCGGGGCGGACTCATGTTCAGAACTTCGGATTCAAATCAACATGATGGAGGGAGATGAATCCGTGTATTTTCGGACCATTTCATTTTCTTTAATAAACAAGTAAACGGAAGAGCGTCTGAGAGGCGTTTTTGCTTTTAGTTTTTTACCTTACTAAATGGTCTGGAAAACTCACGGAAGTCATTTCAAAACAAAAGCACTCGTTTGCTTGGAACGGTGATAATATTATAAACAAGGGGAAACTAGGGCTGCAGTCGAATAGTCCAAAAATCACCTACTATCGTCTATTCCTATCGTCTATTCCTTGACCTCTGTGTGAAACGTCACGGGGTTAACCTGTTTCACACCTTCCCCCCGGTACCGGGCGGATAAACGCGTCATTTGCAGGAAACAACGTCTAAGGAATCTTAATATTGAATAAAACTATGAATGTGTTATATCCATGTAACGGGAAGAAACTCAGCTAACTGATCTTTTTAATTTTTTTTTTCAAAAAAAACCCACATTGCTAGCACTCAGCCTCTGAATTAGCCTCAAGCGAAAAAAACGTAACATACTAAGGCAACTAAACTCACTCTAACTCCCTTATTACTTATCCTAGATGCACAACCAACCACTCTTTTTTGGTGTCCTGGAGACACTGAATCTACCGGTGCCCTCCTCAACACTCAGTGATAAACATTCGCGACGCTCTAAACGAAAGCGTACATCATCACATGTGGAGCTAAGAAGCTAAACACGTAAATATGGCTTACCTTGGTCAAAAGTGGTCTTCAATGGCATTAAAACGATAAAAAAAACGATGCTGCAGTTAATCCATAGGTTCATCCTATGTGTCTGTGCCTTCTTTGAAATTATTTCTGATAATCCATAAGCAATACAACTGCGTTTT